TTTAGCAGATTTTCTTCCAGAGAGAGGGGGGGGGCATCCACTCAAATTTTTTTGCTTCTACTTCTGCCGTTCCCTCATGAACAACCCCTTTTATTAACAATTATCAACAAGTTCAGTTGTTTAAAGAGAATGAATCTTCCACACTTAATGACCTGCAGTTCTGTTCTGGAATCAAGTTATCTTTTGTTAATTGTTTCAAGGGTTTTTCCTTGGTGTTATTTTCCAGGTGCTTAATAAAATCTTCTTTTTGCATATTAGGTTTATGGGTGTTTAAGATAAAATAATCCAGTCAAGACCAATATGAAATCAATCAGCAAGTTTAGTTTATTAAATTTATATGCCACCCATCTCAGCAATAAAAGTACTCTGAGTGACTTACAAAAGTAAAAAGATACATGTAAAAACTATTAAAATTAAAAAATGCTATATAAAAAACTAGAATGACAGAGCTGCTGCTGGATGGCATGGGGATAAGTTCTTCTTATCCTGCTTTAAAACAAAACAAAATGAAGAACAAAATGAAATAAAAGCAAAATACAAGTTTCAAAACAACATTGAGAGAGAAGGAAATAAGATGGCTCATTATGGTGTCTTGCCAGCTTGGGCAATAAAAAGGCACTAAGGTGATGTTAGCTTTCATGTGTTTAGGTGACTTTGTTTAGTGGCATTTTTGATACATATTATGTCAGGGTTATTAGCTAAGGTAAGTAATAAGCTAAAATATTGCATTAATAACAGAGTGGAGTTACTAATTTCATTCTACTGCCAATATTTTTTTAACCTGAAAAATTGTTTGGAAAAGCCATCTATTCCATAATATAAAAGTAAGACCTCAAGGAAGCTAAACTCTAATTTGACATTAGTTAGTCTTTGAAAGATTTTTTTAAACTCAGTGGTAATCATAGAATCATTGGATTGGAAAGGACCTTGGTGGCCTTCTAGTCCAACCCCTTGCTAAGGCCATCCTAGACAAATGGCTGGCCAGTCTATTCTTGAAAATCTTCAGTGATGGAGTACCAACTCATATCCCTGTTTGATTGCTCTTACTGTCAGGCAATTTCTCCTTAATTCTGGGTTGATCTCTCTTTAATGATCTTCCACTTGTTGCTTCTTGTTCCGCCCTCACCACAGGTGCTATGGAGGATAAATCAACCTCCTCTTCTCTGTGACAACCCCTCAAATACTGGAAGACAACTATCATGTCTCCACTAATCCTTCTCTTCATTAGTTTAGACATACCTAGTTCCCTTAGCCATTCCTCATATGATTTACCCGGCAGTCTTCATATCAACTTAGTTGCTCTTCTCTGAGCACTTTCTAGGATCTCAGCATAATTTTTGTATTGTGGTGAACAGAACTGGATGCAGTATTCCAAGTGTGGCTGGCTAGTGTAGGATAAAGCAGTTCTATCACTTCTTGTAATCTTGAGACGTCCCTCTGTTGATATAGCCAAGGACTGCATTGGTTTTTCTGGCAATCCTACCTTAGTGTATGGAATGGATTAGACACTTGCATAACATTTTGGGTTGAAATGCTTACTGAAAATATGGTGAAGTTAGCAATGCCTTCTTACAGCTCAAACGGATGTCTCATTATTTGAACAAATGTCTGCTATAAAACATGATTTAGATTTTAAGCCTTTTGTACAAAAACATGAAGTTAGACCTTTCTCTCCTATTAAGGCTTATACACTTCATTCCCAGAATGCATTATAAAAAGGGCAAGTTATTAAAGGACATTGACAAAAATATGCAATGTTAAATTATATTAATAAATCTGATAAAGTGGCAGCCCAACTTATAGTAATGCCTCTCTGGATCCCTAAGAAGTTACCTGTGAGCTAATTTGTTCTCTTCAAACTCAGCAGACTGCTCTCTGTATCTTCCTAAACAGTCTTAATATTGGGACACTGAGATTGTAGGATAGCACCTTCTTTACCATCAATACAGATAGATTTATGTGCTGCTGAATGGTTTCCAGCTGTTCAAAACCAAAAACCAAAATCAGTCTATTATTCCACTAATGCTATTTAAGATAAGACCATATCTAGCATCATTTCAAATCATCCCCATCAGAGATTTTTCACAATCTTAATGTTAATTCCTTATTCAACTTTGCCTCAGCTAGATCTTGTTCCCATTCCAAAACTTCAATAGATCAGTAAGGTTTCCTCTCCCCCATGTATGGCCTTGAAAAAACAAGGCATCAGGAACCAGCCCCTTTTACTAAATGAAGATGTGTCACATCCAGTTGAAGCTGACCTTATCAATGCCTTTGTCGCCCAGGTCTGAACAAGATAATATAATGCAAAAGCTGGATAATCTTAAAGAAATCTTATTGGTCACTATAGCTGCAGCAGAACCATTTATTGATCTTGCATCTTCAAATATTGACATCAATCATCACTCTTCAATGGATAATGGAATGATTGGAAAACGCTCACCCCAAAATATTTGTTCCTGCTCTTATAGTATGAACGAGGAATCTGCTGGAGACTGTCAGGCCTTGTTAACTAGTGAGGAAGAAGTACACCCCATACCAGGAAAGTTGCTAAACAACATGCTTTGGATCTTAGACTAGTATGACATGATGGCCTGTTATCACCTCCCTTGGAGCCTTTTAGTCTTCTTTCTCTTGATCTGGCTATTGCTAATGGAACCTGTAAAATTACCCAACTGGAAGCTACTCCTCAAATCCATGTGCTATCACAACAGGCACTTACTACTAGGTGAAACCCTATCTCTGGTTCCATTCTAATGTCAGTGTGTGTGAAATGTCAAAGACCTTCGTACCAACAAAAGACTCTGCATGTTTAGTTAATCCTATTATACTTATGATCATATATCACTCTACTAACGAGCATATAAAACATTTGCTAGACCAATACTTGAATACAGCTCATCAGTCTGGAACCCGCATTACATATTTGATATTAATACAATTGAGAAAGTCTCAATTTCCATTATTCAACCCTTTCTCCAAAATGAGACTTTGTAATCTTGACAAGTAATCAAAAAAATAATTTTTCACTATTTTTTGTCATAAACTTGTCATATTACTTTATATTTCCCAAAATAAATATAATTATTTCAAAAAGCCCAAGAATACTTTGTTTCATTACAATTTTGAAGCGTGCTGTATGCATGCATGCATAACCATTGAATCATCGCTGGGGAAATTGCAGCTGCAGCAAGTTTATCTCTGAATAGTCCTAGGTGAATAAGCAATCAAGTGAATGGTCTTCCAGCTTATGATCCATTAGTATTTCCTTAATTTGTATGAAAGTTCTTTTAAATATCCTGTTGAGCAAAGAACAGATCTCTTGGGTCTAATCAACAAAGATAGCAATTCAGAACAGTAAATTAAAAAAGAATTATCTATAAATAGATAGTTTGCCCAGTCCTTTCTAATGCCAGGAATATGGCAACTCTATTCATATACACTTGAGGATATTAGTGCAATAAAACAGAGACATAAAACGGTTGTCCAAAACTTTTATACAAATAGGAATTCTCAAATGGTACAAATCCAGCTCCTTTTCTAACAGCTTCCAGTGGCCACTATTACATATTATGTGACTAGCTTTTAATGCAGAGATCCAGAAGTATCTTAATAAAAAAAAAAGTTAACTCCAAGTAGCAGCAGTAGTAGTAGTAGTAGTTTGGGCTACTTCAAAACTTATACCTGTTTCAAAGTTTCATTTCTGTATATTTTCAAACATCATTCCATCAGTCATTTGCAACCAAATTGCCAGACTTGGAGCTCAGATCAACAGCCCAACTACCAGCCCAAGCTACTTATAATCAAATGCATTTCAAATTACTTTGTGTGTCAGTGAAGGTAAACCTCGACTTACAACAGTTCATTAGTGGCTGTTCAAAGTTACAACAGCACTGAAAAAAGTGACTTATGATCACTTTTCACATTTACGGCCATTGTAGAATCCTGTGGTCTTGTGATCAAAATTCAGACACTTGGCAACTGATTCATATTTATGATGGTTGCAGTGTCCCAGTTGTGATTCCCTTTTACAACCTTCCAATGAGCAAAGTCAGTGGGAAAGCCAGTTTCACTTAACATTACTAACTTAACAATTGCAGTGATTCAATTAACAACTGGGACAAGAAAGGTTGTAAAATGGAACAAAACTCACTTAACAATGTCTCACTTAGCAACAGAAATTTTGGGCAGAATTGTGGTCATAAGTTGAGGACTACCTATACCTAAAGAAAAAGTGCTTTTACTCTATTTGGAGTAATTTACTTGACTATTCAGGTTTGGAATACAACAATATACACTACACAGTTTATTTTTTTATGAGTATCAGAACCAGATTAGGCTTCAGTCTGTTTAGGTTTGAATAAACACAACAAATATTTACATTACAATTGATTTACAAGCTTCTTTTGGTCTAACTTGACCTTCATCTACATAACCTCTCTGCTCCGTTTTTTACTCCCCACTTCCTCCTCTGTATAAATTTAATTCCTGCTTCAATCAAACCCTTCATGCAGCTGGTGAATTGAGGGTATCTGGTGAATGCTTCTGCCTTCTAACCAAATTTGTTAGTATTGCAGGGTATTGTCATACTGATCTGGGGCTTCTGTAACATGCTCTCCTACAGTGTGTAATGTCTGTATTAGTTAATTCGGTTAATCCAGAATAATTTAGATTTGGGCTGCAAATTGGATTAATTAATGTTGAGCAAAGATGCCGTTTGTTCTGCTCCTTAAGAAGCTCAGCCAGAAATCTTGGTCCGAACTACACAAGGCCGAACACAGTTTTAAACAGATACGGTTAGGACTCAATATCCTATATTAAGCACTTTTTGGTCCACTGGTCGAGATTGAAGAATATTCGCTCTCTACCCTGAAATTGTTGTCTTCATAGGTGATTGGGAGGGGGGGAGCTCAATGCAACTTTCTCCCCCTTTGGAAGAGTCCCGTTCCGCTCGTGAATTCGTGCGGCCGATCCGCAGCTCGCTCACAACCACTACCAGCCAATGAGCGCTTGCGACTGGCGATCGAGGCCCCCTTTTTGCATTGGAGAGACGCCGAAAATACGTCGATGCTTTCTCTTTCTGCGCTTGGCCGCGCGCTCTGCTCTAGTTCGCGAGCTTGGGTAATGGCGGCTGGAGGGCAGCTGAGCTCGGTGCCTGAAGTGGAGCTGGACCCCGATGGCACTTTCAAATATATCCTGGTGCGGGTGCAGCGGGGGACTGATGAGCACCGCGACATCGTGAGGGGCACTGCGGACGCCGAGTTCCACAGTGAGTGGAGCTGTCAGCTGGACCGGACCCAGACAAGGGCTTACCGCTCAGCCTGAAATTAAGAAGCCGGATAGCACTAGAGAGAGAGAGAGAAAATGGAAAACTTACATGTGTGACTAACGAGTGGGCTCTGAGAACATTAGTTCAGTGCATTTAACCTGGGTTAGATCCGCTGTCAGATTTCGCTGGGACACCCAAGCCTAGTTCAACCATAATGTTCCGTTTGCTTTCCTTTTAAGTATGGTTTGTGGGCTCTCTTTTTCTCACCCCCCCCTTATGATTTAGTAACAGGAGAATAGACCACTATAGGAACTTGAATATTGAGTGTGCATACTTGTATGAATCCAGCCACGTTGAAATAATTTGTTTCAGTTATGCCCTATTAATTTTTCCATTTGAAATCTGGATGAGAAAAGCACATTGTTCTATCTCTTATTTGGATTCTAGTATAATAAATCTAAATGACTGTGATGCTTTAGAATCACTGCCATGCTTTTCTTTTCCACAAAACTTTGCTTGTTTTATTTTACCATTCTATTTTGTTTGTGGACAGAGAAAGCCCAAAAAATAAACTCTTGTCAGACTTTTCTGGCATTCAGTTTTGGCATTTCTTTTTGACATCTACAAGATGAAGAGAGTCTATATTCATTTATAATATTTTTTTCTAGACATAAATTGCTTGAATGATATGAATACTATAATTCAGGCAAGATAGAGCTTTTTATAGTTCCTACAATGTTTACATTTCACAGATCCTTGTGTTTTGTCTTTATAGTATTCTAATGATCTATTTAGCTTCTATTTTTTTATTACAGATCACATATTTGAAAAAGTAAACCCTGAAATGGAAAAGCTAGGTTTTGTATGCAAGTGTCTTGGAGGAGGAAAAATTGAACATAACAGCAAAGACAAGAAAATCCGTGTATTTGGCCTTTCTACAGTAAGTGCTGTTTACATACGCTGCCCAAATATGATGATTTAATTTGCATATTAAGATTAGAGTAGGGATCATAAATGCATTAATGCATAAGAAGGAACAGTATAGATTTTGGGATGAGGTTTCTAATTCTCAGGTATCTTCAAAAATGTATCATATTTCATGTTAAACCATTCCTTGTCGAATTTTTATTATGTTCATACATTTTCAATTATGCAGATTGCAAAACTACAACTGCCAAACAAGAACATATTCTAAATTACATAGTACCCAGAATAATAGGCATAATGAATCCAAATGCTTATTTTTATTGCTTTCTGTTCTGGAGAGATCTTAGGACCACAACTGGGATACCCAGGAATCATTCCTTATTTAGGAACAACCTATTTCTGATGCATCATAGAAAACACAAAAATTTACAGACTACAACTGTTTGATACTATTGGTTGTTCTTCAGTTTTATTTAAGAAATTATGGCAGTTGTTTATCATTTATTTAAATTTGTATAGCTGCCTCTTACAAAAGGTGACTCTGGGGAACATAGAACAATCAAGTAAAACAACAAACCTGTTGTTTTATCATAAATTACCTGTTTTGACTTATAAAAAATAAAATTGTATAGTTACCCATCTCATAGAAAGTAATTCTGGGCAGCAATGACAACCAAATAAAACCAAGTTACTTTATTATAAATAATCTGCTGTGAGTTATTTTATAAGTTGCTTTGAGTAGACTTACTTTATCATTAGTTGTCTGTTTGGAGCAGGGACTATTAGGAATAAGTCTGTTTGGAAATAATCATGCTCAGTAGCTGTAGTAGAATGGACTAAAATATTATGAGTGTCTTTCCCCACCCTTTTATTGTACGATTCCATGACACTAGAAATCTTTTCTTCTTGCAGGGATATGGTAAAGCTGATCATTCTGTGACTGTTGAAATACTGAAGAGAACTTATAAAGATTATGAAATTAGCTGGTCAGATGACAAGAAATGAATTGTATAATCTAATATAAACCTGTATCTTTTCAAGATAGTTATACACTTAATTCTAAGCTCCCATGCGAAAATACAATCAGTGCATTTAGCCTATACTGAATAAAAAATGGGATATGAATGGGTTGATTCATGATTTAAATAACTTGGAGTTTTATCACGTCTTCACATCTCGTTGACAGCATTTGTATTTTTTAAAATCCATACTTCCAGTTTACATTATCATAAAGATAATTTTGGACCCTGCATTAGTGCAAGCCCCATTTAAACATTTTTAAGAAATAAAGTTTCAAGTCAAGTTTTACTTTGAGGACTGAATATTTCCATTTTTGTTGATAAACTGCCAAGTCATAGCCAGAATGAACACATGATCTTTGATAATTCATCCAGTTTCAATATTAAAACTCATGGAAACTATCTGGAATAATATGCCCAATACCTGCAGTTCCAGGCTCCAAATTAAGGATCTACATCTTTTTCAGGTACACCTTTCCTAAAATAATGCAATTTTAGAGCTTTATTTGGGAAAACCAAAATCATATATAATTTATTAATATGTTAATTTAGAAGGGGGACTGTGAGCCATTGATACACTGGCAACTACAGAAGCTGGATATAAATTCTCCTATTGGCAATTACATGAGATAATTCTCTTTGTCATCCAATCCCAGAGCAATTTAAAATATAATAGTATGTAGACAGAGGCTGCTTACCCCATGGTGCTATAAAGAAAATAAAGATAAATTTCTCTCATACATATAATTTACCCATAGTTAATTAAGCTTTAATTTATTGAATCCAGTTTTCTCAGTAATTAAATACAAGGGCTGAATTGACTGGTTTGTCATTCTGATATCTACCAAATTAGTTGGAAAATAAACATTTTACCATGAATATATTAATTTCAGAGATGGCATGTAAAATGAATTTAGAATTTGTAAAGCATGAACACTGCCATTCCTGTTTTGCTTTTGAAGCAGCTGCCTTAAGTTTCTTAAACTAGTTGGATCTATGCCAGTAAAATTGAGATAATTTTGATAAGCGATTGATGTATTAAAGGAAAAGATATTGTATATGTAGTATCACTCTTAGATAAATTAGATGAGGAAATAACAATTGTGAAATCAAATTAGGTCCATAAAAGAATGCAGTCTTAGACATTCATGGGAAATGACTGCTAGACAAGATCAAGCAAAAATTATCCTTATCAAATCAAACCAAACCTTTATTGTCAATGCACAACATGTGTACAATGAAATTGAATGAGCCTCCCTTGGTGCAGTTTCCCCCCCCCCCCCAAACACAAAATACATCTCAATAATTCAATAAATGAAAGAAATAGAATCCCTAAAGCCAAATAAGTAATAACACACATTCCCATTTCCCTACCAAGTTTTTCACAAAATAAGGCCGGCTTTTTTTTTTGACCCCCGAAAAAATGGGAAAGCCGTCTTTTCGGGGGTAACTTAATTTCTTCTCCCACCTAGAGCAGCCCATACGCCACGAGGCTGTTTTTTTTTTTAATAAAGTTTTATTTGGGTTTTCACACACACAAAATACAAGTAAAACATCTTTTTTGAAAATAGCATGGTCCCGGGTTGAACTTCTTTATACAGACACAAAACTAAATTTCATGCTCCTTTTTGTATTCTATTCTATTCTATTCTATTCTGTATTCTATTTGTATTCATAACTTCCAATCGAATTCTGCTTGGCACATTCTTACAATACACACTATATTTTTTTAAGAAAAAGAAAGATTGTAAATATATGCAATTATAAACCCTCATTCCATTCCAGTTCAGTTCTATCATTAATAATCATTAAAACCATAACATCTTTAACACTTCTTTAAATATCATACTTCTTTAAAAACACATATCTCCATAATTTTTCCCTTATTTCTCTTCACATGTTTTATAAATCATTAAATATACCTTTTGTTACATTTATTTACTGACAAGCATTCCACTGAATTATGATAGCTATTTTATCAGACATTTTAATCATACATTGTTTCATATTTTCTAAAATTATTTCTGCTTCTAATATAACCATACTATCTTATGTACCTTTGCAGAATCCCTTTTTCCATTAAGTTTTCACCCATTATCTCTAAATAGGCCCTGTTTCTCTATTTTGTTTCTGTCCTTTATAACTTCTTTTCCTTTCTTTCTTCCCTCTCATCTTCTCCCTCCCCCTTTTACTCCCTTGTCTCTCTACTTTTAATTCTCTCTTCTGCATTTCCCTCTTCTGTTGCTTTCTGATTTTATACTTATTTTTCAGTCTATTTTTTTGGAGTTGTTTTTCCCAATCTTAAACTTTCCATTCTCTTTCCCCCCTTTCCTTTTTTTCCCCCACCTAAGATTACTTGTTCATTAAAGATGGCTTCTTCTTTGTCCCAATCTTCTTGTTCTGCAGGCATTTTTTGTTGTTTCTCATAGTTCCAAATCTCCATTTCTAAGAACTGAAATACGAAGCCAAAAGAACCTCTCCCTTCTTGTGCATCTTCTTCGTACTTTTTAAGTTCCATTTTCAGTTCTTCTAAAAGTGGAGCCATTTTAAAAAGTTTTAAACAACCACCCGATTGATTTTAGTCATTCAAAACAATAACCAAGAATCCAGAAATCATCAAGTAATCCAGATAGTCCTGAGTTATATCTTATTTCTTTTTCGACTTTCTCTTCCTGGGGTTTTTGTTGCAATATTTCAATTAGAATGTATTTTTTGAAAGTCTTGTTGAGATTTTGCTGTAAGTTCTTTTTAAATTCCAGGCAGTCTCCTCCCTTCCAGATCCTACCCTTTTATTCTTTTTCTCTCCTTTCCTGTTTTCAAAAGCTTTTAATTATCCAGAAATCTTTATTATCCCTTTGACTTTTTATTTTCAGCATTAAATGCCTATTGATGTCAAAGTGGATTTTTTTCCAATTTCTTGCTTAAGTCTCTCAGCTGTCAGTATAGGAAAAGGAGAAAACCAAATCTTTTCCCTTTTCTCTCTCCTTCGCAGCTTAAAAATCTTCTTAGGGAACAATGTTATTGTTTTTTAACAGTTTCAATTCCAGGGTACCTTATTTGTTGCTTTTGCTGTTTGACCTGGTCAACCAAAACTTTCTCTTCTTATCTTCCTCCTGCACATTCTTTTCCGGTCAAGTTCTTCAACCGCCTTCGGGAAAGGGAGTAATGGCCAGCTGGGGAGGAGAGATGCAGCTCTCCTCAACCCTGCTGGTGGTCTCCCCCCTCTTCACCACCTCTACGGGGTGGCTTAGCCCCGAAACCAGCCGGCTTTGGGCGTTCCTGCGACGAGCACGGATCGAAGCCTTGCAGAGACGAGGTTTCAGTCTGTCGCTGAAGAAGTGCAAACCGGAAGTCCCACCACGAGGCTGTTTCTATCGGCTGAGGAAAGCTCAGCTTGAAGGCAGAGTCCCCAGCCGCTTCAGGGCAAGGCATGGCTGCCCATGTCCCCTCACCATTATGCAGTGTCTTTCAGGCGATGGAAGCTCCCCAAGGGCAGTCACCAGCAGTCAATTGGCCAGTAGAAGCGGCCTCGGGGCAAGTGCACACAAACACACTCCCCTAGCCACAAGGCCGCTTCTATCAGCCAATGAAAGCTCCCTTGAAGGCAGAGTCCCCAGCTGCTTCAGGGTGAGGCGTGGCTGCCTGTGTCCCCTTGCCATTAGGCAGTGTCTTTCGGGTGATGGAAGCTCCCCAAAGGCAGTCACCAGCCACTTCGATCGGCTGGTAGAAGCGGCCTCACGGCGAGGGGAGTGTGTGTGTGCACTCGCCCCGAGGCTGCTTCTACCGGCCAATCAAAGTGGCTGGTAACTGTCCTTGGGGAGCTTCCATCACCCAAAAGACACTGCCTAATGGCGAGGGAGCACAGGCAGCCATGCCTCGCCCTGAAGCGGCTGGGGACTCTGCCTTCAAGGGAGCTTTCATCAGCCGATGAAAGCAGCCTCGCAGCAAGGGGAGTGTGTGTGTGCGCTCGCCCCGAGGCCGCTTCTACCGGCCGAAGTGGTTGCCCTTGGGGAGCTTCCATCGCCTGAAAGACACTGCCTAATGGCGAGGGGACATGGGCAGCCATGCCTCGCCCTGAAGCGGCTGGGGACTCTGCCTTTGGGGAGCTTTTATCGGCTGATGTTCTATTGGTAGATCGGGGTATTCTAGCCTAGGCTACCTGCAGGGCACTCCAAAAGGCAAGTTTTTTCCCCACCCACCCCCACCCTTCCTCCCCCATTTCTCTTCATCTGGTGTAGTTCTAATGAACGATGTAAGAAATGGCAGGGAAATGCATGGAATAGGCCTAAATTTTGGGGGTGGGGCTTAATTTCACCTCATGCCTAGAAATCATGCTGGGCTTTCCTATTGGTGGAGGCCGTATTGTTGGAAAAACACGGTATGTGTATGTAACATTACACTGGTATGAACATGTTGCGCTGGCCCTGCAAGTCTATCATATTAAACCTAATTGTAGTGTTATGTTGCATTCAGAAGTCTGACAACCCATGGATAAAAGTTATTTTTCAGCCTATTTGTTTGGCTGGCTATGCTTCTATATCTCCTGCCCAATGGTAGGAGAGTAAAGAAGTTCTGACCAGGGTGTGAATTATCCCTGAGGATTTTCCTCACTTTGCTGAGGCAGCGGGTCTTGGCGATTTCATCCATTGGTGTCAGGGGACAGCTCATAATTTTTTGTGCTGTGCTCATCCTCTGTAATGCCTGTCTGCGGCTGTCAAGCCAGCATACCATACCATAAGACAATATGTAAGGATACTTTCTATCATAGACCAATAGAAATTATGTGGTATATACCTTGCACAAATAATTATAAATAATTCAGAGACAAGAAGAAAACCATAAATGAAAAAGGGTTTGGTGTAAGTAAAGACAAATGTAGTAGTAATTTATTACACCTCTGATAACAGAAAATACATATTTCATAATATGCATGTTAGCATGTTAACAGGAATTCTTAAATGTTAGTTCAATTATGAAACGCTTGAGCCCCTTCTCAATAACTTTAACCACTTGAGATTTAAATACATTCTTCTTTTCTATGAAACTTGTAAAAAGGTGGACCCCTCCTCCACACCCA